TACTGAATGTCCCAGCCCATCTATCTGTCTCTGAGTTCATTACACACACATAGAATCAGCTGGGTTGGAAGGGACCTCCGAGATCATCAAGTCCAACCCTTGGCCCAACCCCGCTGTGGTTCCCAGCCCATGGCACTGATGCCACATCCAGTCTCTTCTTAAAAACCTCCAGGGATGGAGAATCCACCACTTCCCTGAGCAGCCCATTCCAATGGCTGACCACCCTCTCTGGAAAGAAATTCTTCTTAGTATCCAACCTAAACCTCCCCTGGCACAGCTGAAGATCCAGCCCTTTTGTCTTGCTGATGGTTGCCTGGGAGAAGAGACCAACCCCCCCCGGCTCCCCTCTCCTTTCAAGTAGTTGTAGAGAGTGAGGAGGTCTCCTCCAAGCCTCCTCTTCTCCAGGCTGAACAGCCCCAGCTCCCTCAGCCTCTCCTCACAGCACTTGTGCTCCAGTCCCTTCCCCAGCCTTGTTGCTCTCCTCTGGACCTGCTCCAGCCCCTCCATGTCCTTCCTGAGCTGAGGGGCCCAGAACTGGACACAGCACTTGAGGTGTGGCCTCACCAGTGCTGAGTCCAGGGGCAGAATCACTTCCTTGGACCTGTTGGCCACCCTGTTCCTGATTCATTGGCCTTCTTGGCCCCCTGGGCACACTCTGGCTCCTGTTCAGCTTCCTGTCCATCCAAACTCCCAGGTCCCTCTCTGCCTGGCTGCTCTCCAGCATACAGGTATCTATCACTCCAGGAAGAGTCAACTAAAGCAGTTTTTAAAGCAGCTGCAAACAGAGGAAGGCAGCAGTGCCCAGCACCACCTCTGGCAGCTTCGGGCTCCCCTGACCTCGTGCCGAGCCAAGCCGGGAGTTCCCAAGCACGAGCTGCCGAGTCTCTGCTTCACTTCAGGCACTCACAGTTTCCCTCGGAGCAACAACTTCCCTGAGTAAAGCAGGGAGAGAGAGGAGGGCACTCCCAGGGAATGACTGATCATGCTGTCACACGCCTGGCAGTGCCGGGGGAATGCACAAAACTCGTTAGCCTGTCTGGAGTTGTGCTGCTCCTCTGGAGCTGAGCTGCTCCTGCCTCGCGCTGCCTCTGCTCTCCTGCATCGTGATGGGTTTCGGAGGCTTTTGTCTCACCCTTTTGACAGCACATATGCAGAGGCATTACATTATTCATTCTCTGTGCGTGATATACCTCTTGTAGTTTGAATATTTGTAATTAGAGCAGCTCCCGGGCACAGGAAGAGGCAGTTTGTACATGGGGGTTTTCAGTGGTTCGTTGTATTGTAGCCACGTACCATCTTCATGGAAGAAGAGAGTGCTTTTATGCATGAGAACGTTCCAAGTCCATAAAATATTAACTTTACTATGAAAGATAGTGCTATTATCTTATATCTATATGTGAATATGTAAATCTATACCAGATATACATATTCACAAAACTGAAATTTTCCTAAAAGATGTACAATGGAAGAAGCTGCTCGGACAGACAGTTCAACTGGTTCCTGTAATCCTGGCCATAAAGACCTGTCTGGTTTCACTGGAAGCTTGCTCTCACAGGATCAGTTTCTACAACTGCAGGGTAATCAATGACACCTACCAATGCCAGGGAAAACCCTCAAGGAATTAGTGTAATAAATCAGTGATTCTAACAGAGGTGACAAACCTGTTAAAAAGTAAACCATGACATCTTATTTTTCCAGGTCTGATGACTAATAAGGAATCTATCTCTTCATATCCCAGATTTTCTCTTACCTCTTGTCTGTATATGATTTTCTTTTCTGCTGATTGATTTGTGTACTTGTGGCCATGTTGGAATGACGAGACAGTGACATCTGGTGACCAGTTCTGTGCATGCATTTTATATTTTGCTACCTTGCCGTGAAAGTTACCCCAAATTCTGGTAATAACTGTTAGAAAACCATTATATAAACAGATCGATTGTTTTCAATGAGAAAGACCTCAGCAGGTGCCATGAAGTGCATATGTGAACATCACAATTTTAGCCTAATCTGCTGGAGAACTAAATATTAAGTGGCTGCTTATCCACATTGTCTGCCCATTGCCACCAAGCTGTCCCCAGCCAGGTCCCACACTGCCCCCATGGGCTGGGACCTGTGTCACAGCTGCTGGGAGCTTGGCCTGAGCTGTTGACTGGCCAGACATGTAGAGGGCTGTGTGTTATTTTTAGCTGTGGAGGAAGCAATCTTTGAACCAGATTGCTGACTTCTCTCTGTACCTCTTCACAAAAACAAAGCAAACCCCCCCAACTCCTCAGCCTAATCTGCCGTCACAGCTTTGGTGTTTTTTTCCTAAGTGGGCTGCCAGCAGGGCTCCTGCTAATAGTGTGATGCCTCAGCAGGCTGCACTTTCTGGACCTCTTAATTTCATAAACAGAAACATCAGTGCCTCTCCTCCCTTCAGGCTGGGAAGTGGATGTTTATACTGTCTCTATCAGCACAGTGCTGTGGCTGCTAAAGCTTTTTCTCTGCTCCATCACACCACTGCTTCAGCTCTCCAATGTTCCTGGGGTTGTTCTGATGATATTGGAGAATAGATTGAATTTACCCAGAGATTCATGAATAAGAAAGAAATCAAGAGCAATAAAGTACAGAGCTGCCTCTTTAATCAAATGGGTTTCCTGCATTGTCCTGTAAGGAGCTGAGGATAAATGGCACTGTGTTGGGTCATTATCCTCCTTGGCACTGCTACCAGCGCTGTGAGTCAGGATAAACAAGGCTGTTGTTCTGGGAAGCAATTTGACCAAATGCTTCATTATCCCCCCCACACCATTTTCTTGGCTCCTCTGCATGGCTGGATATCTCAATGAGACCTGTGGCACCCACTGTGGGGAGAAGCTGTGATGCTCCATCCCCTCCCGCTCCCATTTGAGGCCTTTTCTCTCAGGTGACAGAAGTGGCTCCGTGGCCTCAGTCACACCAAGCTTGGCTCAGTGTGTGCACATTTGGGGTAAAACCCTACAAGTCCTGCCCTGAAAGGGATTTTGGGCAGAGCCCTCACACAGACACAGCCCTCAGGCTCCTGCTTGAGCCTCCAGAGGTTTCTGCTCACGGCAGCACCGTGGCCCTGGGGACCCACTGGAATGCTGGCAGGATGGATCCCAGACTCCTCCAGTCCAGAGCCACCTGTTCAGAACACACACAACTAAACCATCTTCTTCTTGGTCTGCTCTCAGAGCCCAGCCAGGCTGGTAGCAAAGGTCACAATCTTTTCCTTCCTTCCTTCCCTCCTCTGTCATTCCATCATCTCGTCTGGAAATAAATTTAAATCATCATAAATTACTTCTCAGTGCCATTAGTACCTCCACTGGGGTGGATAAAGTGCTACAAAATTTACAAGACTAATTTCTTTACATATTGGTTCTTTCTGTGTTCCCAGCTCCTGCAGGGTTTTGTAGATATGAAAATTATGGTTGATCGGTTTTGGAAGTAAGTTTTAATTATTAATATTGTAATAAAACTATTATGGTGATTTTTGGAGTTGTTAAAGATATTTTCAGTTGTTGTCATTTTCCTAACTGTACCACAGGGTAGAAATAAGAACGGTGATTGCAATCCCCTGACCTAGTGGGAGTAACCTGACAAATAGTAACATTCCAAAGCTTTTTTTCAATCTTTCTTTTTTTTTCCCCCCATCATCTGAGCAAAGATGGATTTTTCCATAATATAATTATAAAACGTTCATAAACAATAATGTTTTCCTTATTGTAAGTGGTATGTTTTAAATTACATTTAAAGCGTCTGAAAGTAATTTATCCCAGAGCTGCATGGTGTCACTTGAGAAAAGAAAATCAAAATTGCTTTTGAATTTGCTGTGACTTCAGTAGTACTTGTAATGGCAGCTCAAACTGCTGCTTAGAAAAACAGAGTCCCTGAGCATCTTGAGGTATGATGTGTGTATATGTAATTTCCTCAGCTTTAAAGCTTCACTGCCTCATTCAGGTGTCTCTGGTTCCCCTGACCTTGTGAATATTTTAATGTTGTACTTTCCAGAAATGACTATTGTAGCTGCAATTGAACATTTTAATTTGAGTGCTGTTTTGCAGTGGGTAATGCTGTAAAGCCAAATTAGACAAATTAAAATGTATGTTCATAGAAATTAATTGTTCCTAATGATTTCCTGCCCAAATATATATTCCTTTCTATGAATGGAATGGAAAGACGGTTCTTTACTCTGGCAAAATGTCCATATGTTTGTGCAGATCTTAATTTGCAGTCTCATTATAGTTCTGAATTATACTAAAATGTATAACTATTATACTTTTGTGGACTTTTTTTTCTTCTTGACTCTTCTGCTCTCCCTGCTACCCACGGGTGGTTTGAAATTACAGCTGGTTTACTGTTCTGTTCAAGTTTGCTTTGATACTGTAGAAAATGATCTATTTTTTGATTGTGGCCGTGAGAAATCTGTTGGCTGTCTTCAGTAGAATAAATAGTTTCTATCCTTAAATCTCCACTTTGCATAACATTTGTATCCACAACTCCAGGTAGATGTTACATTTCAGCTCATGAAGTGCTGCAGGTTCTGGGCAGCTAGGGAGCTCAAGTACAAAATATTTCTTCTGCATCAGGACACAATAAAATATTATGGGTATGGATCTGTTAAAATATAGATCCTGTTGTTTATGTGGTGATATTTCTCTGGCAATATAAGGCATTCACTCCACATTCTGATAATCACTGAAATCACCAGCCTGCATCACTTCTTCAGGGTTCATTTGTTAAAATAAATATATTTTTTTGTGCTTTGTTTTTTTTTTTTTTTGTTTGGTTGGTTTGGTTTATGTTGGGTTTTATTTTTTTAATCTAATGAATGTTCTTTATGCTACATGTATGACATTAAAAAGCCCAGTCTTGTTCAGATAGTCCTTTATTAGATCTTGTGCTATATTAATGGGAGACCAAATCACTAAGTATGGAATACCCCAGAAAATAAAGGCCTGAAAAGGCAAAGCAGTAACAGCAATAAACTTTTTGTCTTTCAGGAGTACAGAGACCTTGAGAGCAGAGCATGAGCTTCCCCACCAGGAGGGAACACAACCCCTTGGATGGCTCAGCCTCACACACAGCCCTGGGGAAATGTGAAGGGGAGGACTCAGCAAAAGCAAAGGGTTCACTAATGTGAAATCCCAGCAAGAGGAAACACATGCCCTTGAAAAAGAGGTGGAGGAGGTGCTGCAGTGGTAACTGGTGCAGAGAAACAACAGGATCCACTCTGATTTCACACTGGGAAAGATGCTGATCTCATGCACTTTGAGGAGTGCTGGTAAGTCCTGAAAAATTTGCTGTGATTGCAGAATGATGACTCTGCAAAGTGTTTGATTGTCACAGGTAACATCAGCCCCAATGATAGAGCAACCTGGTTTAACCCAGTTTAACCCTTCCATCATCTGACAACCTCCTTCCACCCTTGTCATCTGGCATGGAGAGCTGGAGGTGTGTTACCAAGGGCTATAACAGTTACAACTGATCTGTTTTTCAGAAGTTAGCAGAAATTTGAAGGCATAAAAAAAATGAAGCTCTTAAGTGTTTCCCAGTCTACTCTATTTCTATCTCTCAGTTCTCACCCGTGCCAGGGGATGTGGTAAGTCCTGCAATCAGTAGGCACTGTAAAGATAAAATGACCAAGTGAAGATGGCAACGAAGGAGAGGCGGTGAAACCCAGCAAGAAACATCTACATAGTTGTAAACGAAGGCAGTACATTTTAATGGTGTTATGGGAATGATCACCAATCATTTTGAGAAGGGTTAAGTGTGATTAGCAAAGGAAAAAAAAAAAAAAGACAGCTTTTGTTTATGCCTTAGATCAGCAAAACATTTGCAGGGTAACTTAAGTGTGGCAGTGTAGGTTTGCATTCAAATCTTAAAGAAAATCTCACCTCTTGAGATTGTCTTGAATGGTACTTCAAACCTGGATTAATGGGGATAGAGGCTACCACAAGTCTCATTTCCACTGGAATTCCACAGCAGCCTGTCCAGTCTCTCAGGAGGAGGCAAAATTAATCACTCAGGTCCAGACAGTGACTTGTGACTTCCCCATTAGGAGGAGAAAACTACTCTTCCTAAAGCAGACTGGGGAAAAAATATTGCCTGAGGCACGTTGCTCTTTTTCATGAGGCATAGCAGTATCTAAGTTGGAAGAATAAAGAATAAATGGAGGAAGCAGAGAGGAAATGTTGACTTAGGTGTCATTGCAAGTCACCAACACATGACTTTCCAGGGCAAGACCTTCGTGCTGGCCATGGCAACACTTCATAATCCCGTGTTTGCACAAGGACTCTGCCTGTCATAAGATCATTTATCTGTTCATAGCACAGCCTCAAACTGCTGTACAAAGAGGTAGACACAAAATATTTGATGTTGTTTGAAATCACCTGCCTCACCTCCTGCCTCACAGAAGTGGGATGGCTCTTGGAGACAGAACATGTTGACAGTGTCAGCCCAAGGCATAAATTATCTCAGAGGAGAAAATCCTGTCTTGAGCCCCAAGCTACCTCTTTTTCTGTAAACCTATAAGGTACATAAGTTTATATGATTTCAGTGTGAAGTTTTCCATTTTTTGAATCACAGAAGACAGACTGAGCTCTGAATGCTTTTAAACATGTTGGTGACTCTTTCCTTTCTCCTCAGCTGTGTCCACCCAGACTTACTGCTAATTAATGTGCCTTTTTTTTGGGGGGGCGAGGGGGCATTTGGTGTTTGCCCCAAAGGGCTGAAAACAAGTATTGCAGATGGAAAGAGCTGGTAATTTTTGTGACTGGTGCTGATTTGAGAGGCTGTCAGAGGAGGCAGAGCCTGACTGTGCAGAACCTGCTGCCTGGGGATTACCAACGCTGCAGCATTTCCTGCTCTGTCCCTCACTGCTCCCTGGGGAGGGGCTGCTTTCCTTTCTGTTGTTCAAAAATTCGTGTTATTGCTAGCCAAATGGATGGTCTGGAAATGTTAAATGGGCACTAATTTAAAACCAGCAGAATGCTGGTTTGGGGCTAAAAGAATTTTAAAAATAAGTGGCATCAGCTAAATTTGGAAAGCAGAGAAAAACTGATTAATAGAAGTGTATTTGAAGGAACATACAAAATGAGGCGTGAAAACTTATATAACAAGTTCTCTTTTGGCAAGAAATATAGCACAAAATATGGAAAGAGTGATGGAAGTGGATAATAATGGTTTGAATGTTTTAAACAGGTTAGGGTTTGGAATATTTTCCACTTGAAGTGAATGCAGACTTCATGTGTTGTTATTCAAAGGCTTGGAAGTCTTTTTTCTTTAACCAGGAAAGGCAGTAATAGATGTAGGTCAACCTGCTGGATAGTTGACAAAAATTAATACAGAGGGACAGGAAAATATCTTTTCTTTTTTTCTCTCTCTTTCTGCAGTGCTACACAGGTGCTGTTTGGAGATGTTGACAGTTTTTTCCCTTCCAATTTTAATTCCACCCAGAAAACACCATTCCTCTAGTGCCATTACCAGTGGACTAGTCCAAGAAGATATACAGATTTATGGAATTATAACAGACCTCATTTATCTTGCTCAAACTAACACTTATCAGCAATTTTGATGATGTGTTGGAATCTGCCTAGATACGAAAGGCTCTTCCCAGTTAAATAAGTGTTGAAACTAAGTTGAGGCATTTGCTATTGCAAAAATCACTTTATTAAACTCTTTCATAGCTATTCCATTCCAGCATAAATTCACTTGACTTTACTACAGAAAACTACCTTCCTTAACAATTGTAAGTCATTGATGGCATATAACTTACCCTCTTAAAATCAATCCAGAAAGACAATGATTAGGCATCTATTATCTTCCTAGAGGGATGTTTATAAGCACAGGAGGACAGTGCAGCCTGATAGTGAGGATTGCAGGTTTCCACCTCCTGGTTCTGTCAAAACTGTCATAATGATGTAAAATGTTGACCAGGAGAGATCTAATGGGTGATTATATTTTGGCATCCAGGTGCTCTATCAAACTCTGTGTGGTCAGCAGGTCGAGGCAGGTGATTCTCCCCTTCTCTGCCCTTGTGAGACCTCACCTACAGCTCTTCATGCAGGTTTGGGATCCCCAGCATGATACAGATGTGGAGATTTTAGGACAAGTCCAGGGGAGGCCACAAACATGATCCAAGGGCTGGAGCACCTCTGCTGTGAAGACAGGCTGAGGGAGTTGGGTTATTCAGGCTGGAGAGGAGAAGGCTCCAGGGAGAACTCATTGAAGCCTTCCACTACTTAAAGAGGGCTTGTAAAAAAGATTTTACACGGGCAGATAGTGATAGGACAAGGGGGAAGAGTTTTAAACTAAAAGAAGGGAGATTTAGATTAGATGTTGGGGAGAAATTCTTTACTGTGACGGAGGTGAGGCACTGGCACAGGTTGCCCAGTGGATGCCCTGTCCCTGGAAGTGTCCAAGGCCAGGTTGGATGGAGCTCTGAGCAGCCTGGACTAGAGGGAGTTGTCCCTCCCTACAGCAGATGGCCTTTGGGGTCCTTCCAACCCAAGCCTTTCTATGATTGAGTTGGTAGGAGAAAAGGAAAATTCACATACTGTGTGTAATATCTAAAGCTAAAGAAAATATGCCGTAAGATACAAGATTTCAGGTGAAATTAAGCAGTTTTTTCCCCAAACTATCTGTGGCATTTCACATAATTGCTGTTCTGCTGTTGCTATGGTAATGACAGCATTTCTCTGTCTCTATATTGTCCTCTTTTCTGTCACTCAGATCTACTTACTACATGGGCCCACTTCTGCTCAACAGATGAATTGCCCATCTAGATGATCTTTCTTTCTTTTTTTTTTTTCATCTTGCTTTACAGCCTCATACCAGAGACTTACTTTAAGTCTGCAGGGAACTTAAAAATAGTTATATGCTTAAAGGCTTAGCTGGACTGGTACCAGTGCATTATTTCTCACCACTGCTGCAAAAGTGATGGGAGCTCTCTTACTTGTCCCAGAGTATTTAAACCAGGGCCAACATTTTCTCTTGAACTTCTTTAGCAAATTGGTATAAGAAAGACTGAAATTATGTCTATGCTATTTTAGCAACTGTAAAATTTCCTCATCTTGTGTGATCTCATATTTAGAGCTTGGCTGAGAGAGAAAGGACTGGGGACTGACTGCTGAGCATTATTCATGGTTTATAGTGCACACCAGGATGCAGTGTGTGATTAGGACACAGGAGTTTTTCTTCATTTGGAAGGCTGTTTATAGAGTTTCACAATCCAAATGACAAGGTTCACTGCTAGTGGGCAGACAATTATCACAGTAACAGAACATCACAGAGCAGAAATATTGTCTTTTCTCAGGCATAATGGACACTTTACTTTCATCTTTTAGAAAATCAGAACTATTGACTTTGTGGAGGGAAAAAAAGAGGAGAAAGAAGTGCAAACTTTTAAGATGGGAAATTTTTATTACAAAAATGGTTTGTGACTGATTAAGCCAGATTAACCCTTCTCAGAATGGGTTTGTCCATGGCAGTGTCGTGCAGTAGCATGAGAAGAGTTATCTGAGGGTGTGATTTGTAGCAAAAAAAATGGTGCATATGCTACTTGAGGGAGAAAATAAATCCAGTATTTCCTGGACAACAGAACCCATTCTGGTTGAATTTATCTCCACCTAAATTGTGGTCTTTGGAACTAGTTTGTTTTGGCTCTCATTCACTCTTCAGTACAGCGTGAATGACATCTTAGTTAAATTATCTTTGTGGTGCCTGCTCTGAATGTGTTCTCCAGGATACTGCTATCACTTAGCAGAGCATCTGCTATTTTTTCCATAGACAAAGATAACTTTGAATTAAACTCTGAACCTCTCAGGATCAAAATATCCACGCTCCAAAACTGACCTCTGCTTCTGCATGATGTGTAGGAAAAAAACCACAATGGACAGATGGTGAGACGCTTTTCTTTCCAATATTATCTTGTTTCAGCCTCTTGCCCTAACTTCTGCAGCAGACTTTTTATTTTCTTGGAGGAAACCAAGTGCATGAGAAAATGCAAATAGGGTAGACTGAGCTAACAAAACAAATAATGTTGTTTTCTTCCCAATTTTCAGAAAAACATTAATCTTGTCTTATCTTTTTCATCTGAAAAATACAGTTTTCCTATTTCCAGTTGTTCAGTGACAAACTCCAACTTGACCAGAGTCCAGCTTGTAGCAGACTGGCAGCTGTAGACAGCATCTGTAAGTTTTCTCCTGCCAGTTTTGCTGTGGTTTGTTGTTTTTTTTTTTTTTTTTTTTCCA